ACCGGACCGCCCCCCTAAAACCCATGCCTCTCAACTCAAGAGCTCCCTCTATCCGCAACCCATCCCTCTCTCACCATCCCCCCACCCCCCAACCTGTCGCGGCGCTCCATCTCCGCCTTGCGTGCCTTGACGTCCGCCTCCTGCTGCGCCAGGATGCGCTCCGTCTCGCGCCGCGACTCCTCCACCTTCTCACGCCGCTCCACCTCCCTGGCGGGGGGGGGCGCGGGGCACAACGCGCTTCTGTTTCCAGCAACGTGCACGCCACCAGAACGTGCGGGGCCAGCCAGGTGTGCTTGCACCACCCCCGCACGCCTCCCGGTGCAAAGCATGCGCCATCCGTACCCGACACAAAATCAGCGGGCAGCACACAAGGACCCCCCCACACACACACACACAACAAGCAGCCGGCACGCGTGCGTGCACGCGCACACACACACACACACACACACACACACGCTTCTTCCCCAGCTCTACCGTCACCGCACCCATACACACACCCACCCCCCTAAAAGCAAAACCCCCCCTCACTTCTGAAAGGCCTCCTTCTTGCGGCGCCGCGCGTCCTCCGCCTCCTTGCGGTGCAGCGCCCTCTCGCGGCGGTAGCGCTCACCCGCGATGCGCAGCGCCTCCTTGTCGCGCTCCTGCTCCTCAGCCATCTTGGGGGGTCGGGGGGGTTGGGGCAAGAGAGTGGATGGACAGGTGAGTGGGCGTGTGGGCATCGGAAGGCGGGCGGGGCCGTCTTGTGGCGGACGGCGGATAGCGGATCCGTGCAGCTGTCACGCAGCCGGCGCTGCACGGGAATGCGGGCCCAGCAAGTGCACGCGGCGCGGCAAACAGATGCAACAATGGCCACTTATCCATTCCCTGTACCTCGTATGCCAACGCAAGCGGTCACATCAAACCACACATGCGCACGTTTACGTGCTCACTCGTGCAGCCAGACCCTGCGCCCCCGTACGCGCATTTGAACCCCCTTCCCCTCTCCTTACTCACGCCCACTCCGCCCTTTCACACCCCTTCCTCATATGAAAACCCAACAAAACACACCCACATAACACTATATATCTTCAACCACCCCAAAACACACATTCACACGGATCCTGCACAACCCATTCAAGCACCACACACTCCTCTTGCTCACAACACATCCGAGAGCGCCCCGCACCTTTGCAAGCTCCCGCTCCCGCTGCGCCGCCGCCCACTGCCGCTCGTGCTCCGCCTTGGCGCGCTGCAGCTCCGCCGCGCGCGCCTCCATCGCCTCTATCTTGCGCTGCTGCTTGTCCAGCAGCTGCTTGCGGGTGACCTCGTACTGCAGCATCTGGGGTTTGCACGTACGAGGTTTGAATTGCCAATGAGGTGGGTGGAAGAGTGAGTTTGTGAGTGGGTGGGTGGATGTGTTGGTTGGTGCACGGGTGAATTGGTGGTTGGGTGGCCGGCTGGCTGGCTGGTGGGCTGGATGGATGGATGGGAGGGTGATGATTGTGAGGGAGTCCGCGATAGTGAACCCAATATCCTGTCGGCAGGCCCGAAGGTCAGTGGCGCATCGCCTGCACCCGTGTCCATTCCGCGGTGCAGACGCGCGTCCGCCCGGCCGGCCTGGCCGCGGCGCGCTCCCCGCCTGCGCCTGAGGCCCGGCCCTCTCGTCTGCTGGCCCCGACCCTCGCCCGACGCGAGCACCCCGAGACCATGCGTCTGCTCCGCGATCGCCCCAAGACGGCTCGGCCCTCCTTGCCCCTGGGCCCTCTCAATCTTTGCGAAATCCTGGCGCTCGTGACCCATCCCAGCTTCCCCTATACACACATGCACACACACACACACACACACACACACACACACGCACGCACACACACGCACGCACACACACGCACGCACACTCACGCACAAACACACATCAACACACACACACACACCTGCTGTATCTCGCGCTCCTGCCGCCGCTTCAGCACCTCCAGCTTGTGCTTCTCCTTCTCTACCATGGCGCTCGTGGCCGCGCTGCTCACACCACGCCCGCCCGTACCGCCGCCGCCGCCAGTCGCGCCGCCGCCGCCGCCGCCCCCGACCTCCACGGAGCCGTCCACCAGCCGTTTCCGCTCGTCCACCAGCGCCGCCAGGCGCTCCTGCGGGGAGCCGCGCACGCAATGAACGCGACCGCGGTTTGGCCGCTTCATAGCCAGATGCTGCAAGGGCGGCTCGCTTCAAGCCGCCCGGTCGGCGTGCGCAGCACGGCACCATTCAAGAACGTCGGCACATGTTAAGAGCTTCCAGCCGCCTTACACACACATAAGTTGGGCGCCCGCGCATTGGCCGTAGGCTCCAGCAGCCGGCTGACCCCAACTCGCCCTCCCGGCAGAGCGCCGCAGCCGCCCGCGGCCGCGTGCGCCACAGATCCCACCCATGAGCGCGCGTGCATGCGCGTGTGCGCACCTGCCGCAGCTGCTCGTGGTGGGTGTAGCGCTTCTGTGTCAGCTCGGGGGACTCCCCGGCGCGCTTGAAGCTGGAGAGGGGGCGGAATACCAGGTCCAGGGGGTCCAGGCCCAGCCTGAAGCACGCCTCCACGGACCGGGGGCTGTTGGGGACCAGCAGGCTCTCGGGGCGCGCCGCCTCGCCGTCCGCACC